GCGCGGGCTGGGAAAAGCCGGCAAGCTGGAGGGATGGGCCGCTTCCGGGAGCCCCGCCCTGCCGCACGCCGGCCAGTCACAGACCCGGACGGCCCCCTTAGGGGCGGAGCCTCTCCGAGGACTGCCCATGCAGCCTTAGACTACCCGGATCAATGGAGAGGGCGGGGCGATCCCCCGCTCAGTCTCGGGCCGATTCAAACTAAGGGCGGTAGGGATTGGCTGAGCCGGGCCGGAGAGAGGCGATCACGCAGTGATAGGCAGAAGTTTTGTGATTGGCAGGCGGAAGGACCCCGCGTCCCAGTTCCATTGAAAAGCGCTGTTTGGACAGTGGCATCGTAAGGATGGGAGGAGCTGTCGTGTACGGGGAGATCTTGATCTCCGGTGGCAAATAGGATTTACGTGAGGAGCAATTGTGAACTGTGGTTGTAAGGCAGAGTCTGCGCCCTTGGGTGGAATTAAAAATTAATTGGCCAACGGCTCAAGGCCGAAAGCACTAGGGATCCTTAGGAGGCCGGGTCTGGGTAATCTAACTCCCTAAACCACCAATAAAATAGCTGAATTTAACGGCATTAAAGTCATAATGCTGATGATTGAACGACAGAACGATTTTCCAATGGAACTGAGTAAAGGCTAAGTTGGGTGGAACGCTCTGCAGCGACAGACACACCTTTAGACCAATGATCAGACCAATTACAGTAAGTAGGCGTGCCCTTTAGCTGAGCGACAGATCAAGGGAACCAGTGATCGACCTGATATCTGAGCCGCGACCAACCGGGAGGGCGGATTCCCTTGAAGAGGCTCTGGAAGGCGGGAAGAGGGGAAGTGGGCGGATCTCCGCACACCCCGGCGGAAGAGGCAGATTCAGGAAGCCATTACGCAGCTGGCTGGCAGGGGCTGAGCCGGTCGGGGCTGGGCCCTACGCACTTTACGTAGCGAGGGGGGTTACCAAAGGCCTGGTGCTTGGCCTTGGGCAAGCCCGGCCTATCCCCCGTAGAGGGGGGGTGGGTGACGAGCGAGGCTGAGGAAGAAGAGAAGGGGTATTGGGGCCGTTAGGGGATTATAATTTCTTTAAAAAGCAGAGTTGGGAGAGGTCATGGCCGTCCCAGCCAAGAAGAGGAAGATGAACTTCTCTGAGCGAGAGGTGGAGATCATCGTGGAGGAGTTGGAACTGAAGAAGCACCTGCTGGTGAACCACTTCAACGCTGGGGTCCCTCTGGCTGCAAAGAGCGCGGCGTGGCACAGCATCCTGAGAAGGGTCAACGCCGTGGCCACCTGCCGCAGGGAGCTGCCTGAGGTCAAGAAGAAGTGGTCTGACCTTAAGACCGAGGTCCGTCGCAAGGTTGCCCAGGTCCGGGCGGCCGTGGAGGGTGGTGAGGCCCCAGGGCCCACTGAGGAAGACGGAGCTGGTGGGCCTGGGACAGGTGGGGGTAGTGGCGGCGGTGGCCCTGCTGTAGCCCCAGTACTGCTCACCCCCATGCAACAGCGCATCTGCAACCTGCTGGGCGAGGCCACCATCATCAGCCTGCCCAGCACTACAGAGATCCACCCCGTGACCCTTGGACCCACGGCCACCGCAGCCGCAGCCACGGTCACCCTGACACAGAGTGAGTGACCTCTCCCGCCCAGTCCGGCGTGCCTAAATGGGAAGGGCCAGCAAGAGCTGGGGCAGCCCAGGGAAGGTTGGCCGCTAAGGGTCAGAGGTCAGATGGGAGTCTTGGAAGACCATGAGGCCTTCCAAGAGCTTCTCCAGACAGAAGTGATCTTGTTCTCTCTGGGACTTCCTCAGCACACAGTCTGGACTTCTGACAGGCTGGCTTGCTCTCCAGTGTTTTGCCACCATTCAAGTCCATGACTGAACCATGTGGTCCTTGAAGACAGAGACCATGTTTATATCCCTACAGGACTTATCACAGGGCCTGGCACATACTAGGCCATATTTGTTGAATGAATAGGTAGATGGACATCGATTCTGGACAAAGACATTCTGGTTTTCAGTGTGGTGAATATTTATCAGGCACTGCTGAGGAACTTGTTGTTAATCTGTTCCTGCATTCACTCATCAAACATCAGTGCAATTCTGTGCCAAACCCTGTGCTTAGCACTGGGATTATCAAGGTGTCTAAGAGATAGGCTGGTTATATTCTAGTCAGACAGTTAAGACACATGTATGAGTAACTGCACCGTCAGTTGGGAGAACCTAAGGACTCAAAAGAGAAAGGGGGCTTCCTGGTGGGGGTGGGGGCACACAGTTGTCGTTGGCATTAAAGGATGGAGAAGACTGATCTTTCCCCCATGTGTGGAGACCCGAACAGCCCAGTTAGAGTACCTTTAAAGGTTCTCAGCTACAGATGACAAGAGAACTCGCTTTGGTTGGAATTTTTAGTTCAGATAAGGGTTTGAACCAGTGACTGTTAACTGCTTTTTGTGATGGGCTGGAAACTGTATCACTCAGTGATTCCCAATAGGACTTGAGGGAACTGGGTGTGTGTGTGTGAGTGCCATCCCCCTGTGATGTCTTATTTCTCAAGGACATTGAGGTGGGAAAGAGGATCAAACACTCGTCTACACCAGTTGCTGTTCTGGAACAGGCAGGGCCTTTAGGTATTTCATTGACCAAGGTAGTCAAGGAGATGGGGAGGCATTTACTAGGTTCTTCAGCTCCTGCCGCCCCACTCCCATCTCCTTTTTCGCTTGGCCATGAAAGACATGGAAGTCAAGAAAGCAGCGAAGGAGGTAGGTCTAGCTGCAAACAGTTCTGTAGAAAATCCCATCCAGGATGCCTGCTGTGTGCTGGCACTTCAGGGAACATGTGGCCCTGCCTTTATTAGCCAGAAATGGCCCAGTGAGCGGCTATGAGCACATTAGACTTTGATATTAGGGAGACCTGGATTTGCTTCCTGGACCTGCTAAATGAGCTGTGTGACCTTAGGCAAGGCACTCCATGTTTGAGTCTATCTCTTCGTCTCTGAAAATGACCTCTGGATGTCATTATGAAGATTCGTGGAGCTAATGAGTGCAAAGGGTTAGCACAGTGCCTGGCACATAGTGGTGCTCTACATTTTTGGCTGGTCTTATTATTAGCATCTTTGCTTTTGCCAGATCTGGGGCTGGCCCTTTGGTTATTAAGTAGATTAAGATTCTAACCCCCTTAGATTCTAGATTTATACACGAAAGGCTGTAAAGCTAGAGGAGACCTGAATTCCCCAGAACAGGGCTTAATGGCCTCGTCTCCACCCCACATGGCCAGCCTCACTCTTTCTAGAAAGTGATCTGCCCCTGCCTTTGCTCTTTCTCTCCCACAGTCCCCGCAGAGACCACCTATCACACGCTGGAGGAGGGAGTGGTAGAGTACTGCACGGCCGAGGCTCCCCCGCCCCTGCCGGCCGAGGCCCCAGTGGAGATGATGACCCAGCACACGGACGCCTCGGTCAAGCCACAGGCGCTCAAGAGCCGCATAGCCCTCAACTCAGCCAAGCTGATCCAGGAGCAGCGGGTCACCAACCTACACGTGAAGGAGATTGCCCAGCACCTGGAGCAGCAGAACGACCTGCTGCAGATGATCCGCCGCTCCCAGGAGGTGCAGGCCTGCGCCCAGGAGCGCCAGGCTCAGGCCATGGAGGGTACCCAGGCAGCCCTGAGCGTCCTCATCCAGGTCCTCCGGCCCATGATCAAGGATTTCCGCCGCTACCTGCAGAGCAACATGCCTAACCCCGCCTCTGCCTCTGACCCTGGACAAGTGGCCCAGAATGGGCAGCCAGACAGCATCATCCAGTGAGGGCTGGGGGTCGAGCCAGCCTTCCGCTGTGATTGGATGACACCGCCATGGTCTTGTAAGTGGGCTGTGCAATTGGCCTTAGGCTAGGGCCGGCCATGTGGACAGCTCCCAATGTGAGAGACATTTAGGGGTCCACTGTTTCTGAGAAATGAAGAAGAATTTGTTGGGTTCCTGGGACCCCAACTCTCTTACCCCCACCCCTGGAACTGTCCTGCTAACAACCTGGGGGTCAGGCGCTGGTGATGGGGCCCACGTTGTCATGAGCCAGGGCTTGTGACATGACCCAGACTCAGACCAGAACAACTATAGGGAAGGCCGTCACTGGGGGCCGTCTCACAGCCGAGGGTCTGTGCTGAGATACCCGCCGCCCCACCCAGGTGCCGTCCTTTCAGTAAGATGTCCGTGGTGCTGGCAGTGGCACTTCTTCCTCCCTTGGGAGGCAGAGTGACTGGTGGGCGTGAGGAGGAAACCCCACCCTTATCTCCTTCTCACTGTGCCTCAGTTCTCAGGGGACTCTAGTTAATGCCATGCTCTCCCCCAACCCCACCACACCCAGGCACAGCAGGGGCCCTTGTTAGTGCCCTGAGCTGCCCCTGCAGTACACCCAGGCGGTGGCCTGCCGCAGTGCCGGGTGTGGTGGGGACAGCTTGGCTGCCATCTGGTCTTCCACTGCGTCCTTGGGCAGCCCTTTGGTGGTTTGTCCCGACAGCTTTGACTCAGGTCAAGCATCAGGCTTTGGGTGCTGTAAATGTTACTTCCTGCCCCACTGCAGTGGGTCTGAGGCTTCTTCCAGAAGGCTTCCTGCAAGCTAGTTGTATTTATTCTGTACACGAACCCCTCTGGGAAGACCTCTAGGACCTCGGAGGGCAGCTCAGACCCCACCCTTCCTCCTTGCCTCTCTACTGACTGTGCGTTTCCAAAACTCAGTGCAGAAAAAAGCCTGCCCAGTATCGTATCACATCCTGGACTCCTTTCTCACATCATTCAGCACCTCATGCTTTTGCGAGACCCTCACTGATGGGTTGGGTGAATCTGGAGGCCTGATTGGCCCTGAATGTGCAGCGTGGGAGAGTTGAAGCTGACCTAAGAAGTGGGATCTTGGACTTCTGTGCTCGGGGAAGAGCAGACCAACCTCAGTGCTGAAAGAGGTGGCGTTCCCGGTTCTGTTCTGATGTTTTCTCCCCATTTGTACAGACTTTACCCGGATGGCATTTGTCTGTTTCATTTTCAGAATCACCATCGAGACCCTTGCATCTTCCCCAGTCATTTCCCAAGTTTGCCATTTTGTTGCTAACGCCTTGGCTACACGTGACCGATAGTTACAACTCAAGGCTCCAGATCTCAGCTAAATAATGAAGGTGCTGCCCTTCTGGGCACGTTTAGAATCGCTCAGCTCCACTGTCGCAATTACGGGAAGATGCCCCCAAAGACGATTAAGCAGTGACTTCTACACCACCAACCTCTCTGTAGGGGACGTGTGCAGTGCCAGCTACAGGGCAATGGAGAGGAATCAGGCTGGTGAGGGAGTTGGGTGGCAGCCTGTCTAGAAAACGGTGGCCCCTGGCAGCCTGGGCACCCGCCCTCCATGGAGTCTACTGGCTCCAGCAGAGAAGCTTCAGGGACTCCCTGAGGGTTTGCAGCTTGGTTTGGTTACCTTCTGGGATTGGCAATCTGAACCAATGTTGTGTCTGTTCCAATTGGGTATAAAGAGGAGGTTTAGATCACTTAAACTGACTGGTTCTTTCCAGGTCATAATTTTAAATTAAAGAAATACCACTTTTTAAAAAGAATACACATATCTGTGTCTTCACTGGTTATATATGGAAGATGTATAGGCTTGCCAAGAGCAAGGGCCGGCACACTATGTCCCACAGGTCAAATCCGGCCCCCCAGCTGTCTTTGTAAGTAAAGTTTTATTGAAACACAGCCATACCCCTTAATTTACTTAATGTCTAGTTGCTTTTCTGCTACAACAGCAGAGTTGAGTAGTTGGGCCAGAGACATCTGGGCCATGAGCCAACAGTATTTACTCTCTGGTCCTTTCCAGAAAAGCCTGCCCATCCCTGGTTTAGGGCAGTGCTTCAGACTCTGGATGAGTATTACTTTGGGGTGTTTGTTAAATATAACCAATTCCTGGCCTCATCCAAAACCTAGAAGAGACTCCTGGAGGGAGAGCTCTAAGAATATGCATTGTAAACAAGTTCTCTGGGTGATTCTCATGTTTTCTGAAGATTAAGAACTTTGGCTCAGAGACTAGGCTTAAACTCAGCTGGACTTGGGATAATGCCCCCAGGGAGTGCTGGTTCTAGGAGTTTCTTCTGGACAGTTGAAAAGTCCTGCCAAGCAGATTCTCACTTAAGATCAGCCTTCATTCTGGAGGAAGCCCAGCCTTTCTGGACAGAGTTATCACTCTCCAGTATTTAGTGATAATAAAACTGACAATTATTGAGCCCCTACTCTGGCCTTATAAGCATTACCTTATTGACTTCTTGCAACAGCCCCATGAATTAGATACTAATGCCGTTTTCAGTTTACAATTTACACTGAGGATCAGAGAGGTTAAACAACGTGCCCAAAGTCACACAGCTACATTATCCCCTGGAGTGTCCCATATTTTTAAATTGCTGTTCTGAACTCTTTGCTTTTTTTTAAACACCTTTATTATGGTGTGATTCCTGTACAGTAAACTACACATTTTTGAGACGAACAATTTGATGAGTTTTGATAGATGTAATTGCTGTTCTTGACTGTTAATTATCCTGACCTTGCTGCCAGTGAGATATGAAATCACTTAGAGATAATCTGAGCCCGACCTCGAGTTTCCAGGTAAATGAGGCAGCCTAGAAGGCAGCTTGTGTTATTGTTCTTCTTGACACTTGAAAGGGAACACAGTGATCTCTCCTACTCCCTATAGGAGAGATCACTGTGTTCCCTTTCAAGTGTCAAAGGGAAGGGAAAAGGGTGGTTTTGCACCTTGATGGCGCTGGTGGAGAACGGTCACTTATATGGGAGCGATTTCTTTGGAATCCTTCCTAAAATGTGGAGTTTTGTGTAAAGGAAATCCTCCAGGCCACTGACGCTTACTACTTCAAGTTTTGAAATCTTTTACATTTTAAGCCATTTTGTTGGAAGTCTTTCACAGAGATTCCCTTTGTGAACTGTATTTTACCCAGAGGTTTCTTATTCAATACGTTTGCACAGCAGGCCGGGAGAGGCAGTGCTTGGACATGGGCTCTGGCAGGTTTGGGCTTGAGATGGGCTCCACCCCTTATTCACTGTGTCTCAGCTTTTCTGGGCCTCAGTTTTCTCCATTGGAAAATAAGGATGATGAATGATAGTCCGTACCTGACAGGGGTGACATGGGGTGTTACACATTTACTGAGCACTTAGTATGTCCAGACACTATTCTAAGCACTGTACGTATGAACACATTTCACGAGATCATGCACGGAAAACACTGAGCGTGTGCCCAGGGCGGACATAGCAAGTGCCCAGTAAATACTGGCTGCTGTCATTATCAGCGCAGGATCTGATACTCTGGAGAGCTAACTAGGGCATCTCTTTTTGAGATCACAGTGAGAGCTTTGTCAAAAGTGGCTTCAGCCAGATGAAAAAAGATGTGACCCTGGAACTAGAGGGTTGCCAGGACATGGAGAGCAGAGAGTAGGAAGGTCTGAGGGTAGCCTGGGCATGGGAACCAAGGCCAGTACAGGGAAGAGCTGGACACCCGGAGGCTCTGGTACAAAGGTTTTGAAAGAGGCGGGTTGAGCGAGTTGTCAAGAGCTGAGATGCCACGTTCTCAGTAGTCTCTTAAGACAGCAAGCTGAAATGAGGGTAACAGTCAAGCCTTCAGTCACTTACTGTGATGGTATAAACAAGGGGAGAAAGCGCCATCCCCGTAGGGTCCCAGTGTTCCCCACGGGACAGGGCCAGCCAGGGTCAGACGTGTTGCAGATAAGGGATCATTTCACTGCTGAGGGACGCCCTTGCTTTATGGACTTGTGTGTGTGTTCTGGGGACAAGGGTGGGAAGGGCCAGGAATGGAAAAGTTGTGAGTACTGGAGTCAGAACAAAGTATCTCCCCATTCCTCCCGATAAGAAGGTCTTGGCAGAGGTACCTGGGGAAGACTTCCGCTGATGGCCCTCAATAAAGAGGCCTCCGAATGAAAGCACCTAGGCTAGGAATGCACCTTTGCCTAAGAGCACGTGGGGACTGCCACATAAAGCCTTCAAAATGGCCTATGGTCGAGACTGAAAGATCACACGTAGGTTTGTAGCCAGGAGCTGGATTCCTTACAAATGCATCCCAGGTCTTTGGAATCAGCATGCTTCTTACTTACTGGCTGTGTGCCCTGGCATGGGGTCATTTAATTTTTCCAAGAGTTGGCTTCCTCACCTAAAAATCCTTCTCTAATGAGGTTAATATGAGGAATTAACAAATGAATGCTCATAGAACACTTAGCACAGTGCCTGGCACAGAATAGGTGCTAAATCATGATAACTGTTTCAGTGAGCTACTGCTGTGTAACAAACCATTCCAAAACTTAGAGACTTAAAGCAATAATCATTTAATTGTTCATGATTTTGCAGTATGTGTAGGGCCTAGAGGGGTCATTTTGTCTGTGTTTCTCAATGTCAGCTGGGGTGGGTCTACTGAACCTGGGGTGGTTCTACTGGGCCTGGGGGATCAACTTCCAAGAAAGCTGACTCATATGTCTTGCAAGCTAATGCTAGATAGGGAATGGGAACTCTGCTGGATCTGTCATCTGGGGCTGGGAGTGGGGCGGGGATCTCAGTTCTCTACCTGGGCCCCTCTGTGTAGCTGCTTCGTCTCCCTCCCAGCATGGTGGCTGGGGTTCTAAGAGTAAGGAGGTGGAAACTGCTGGTCTTCTTAAAGTTAGGCTTAGATCTGGTACAGCACCACTTTGTCATATTCTCTTGGTCATGAAATCTCAGGCTGGCCCAGATTCAAAGGGATGAAAGAATAGATTCCACCTCTGGATGGAGGTGTGGCTCCTGATACAGGAAGAGGAGGACCTGTTGGTGACCATCTTTGGAAACAAGCTAACATGATGCTTTTATTATAAATTGGAGTGAGGACTCCAGGTGCATGAAAGGCAGCCTCTCCAGCACATTCCTAGGGGAGTTGAGGACTCCCTGCAATCCACCAATCAGGAGGCAAGGGAGCTCCCCAAACTTTGAAAGGTAATCTGTTGAAGTATTCCATTTCCTGTAGCTTTGAGTCAAGAGATTAGAAGGAGAAGAGCTCTGGCAGGATCTGGCTCACTTTGACTCCTTTTAGTCTGGAAATTTTTGCACCTTAGAAAGGGACCTGGGGCCTAGGTAGGTCGCATCTGTGCAGACACACTTGGAAGTCTCCCTGAAGAGACTTTCTGACTCCAGGAGAAATTGGCTGGGGCCAGAGAGGGAGGCAAGGTGTTTGTTGAGAAGAATGGGTGGGACAAACCCACTCTTTTTGTTACAGATGACGACAAGGTAAACTCGGTATGGATATTTGCAAAGGGGGATGTGGTTCTCAAAATGGCCTGACCATAAAGGCTGTGCTGGAATGTGCTGGCTCTCAGCAGACTCAGGGCAGTCACCTCCTCTGCCCCGCCTCCTCCCCATCCAACTCCTGGGCAGCCCTCCGGGGCTCAGCCTGGGTGTCACTTTCTCAAGAACACATTGTCTCCCTACCTCTCGCCCAAGGTGGACTTGCTTGTTTTCCAACTGATCCCCTCACTGGAGCCTCTGGGCTTCAGCGACCTCATCCACTCTGTTCCCGGCTAGAGCCAGTTCTGCGAATGGCACCTCCCTGCCCCCAACTACCCAGGCTGGAAGCCCTGGTGACATCCTGGATTCCTCCCCCGGCCTCACCCTCATAGCCAGTCTCTGCTAAGAGTCCTTCTGACTTTCCTTAAATCTTTCCATGCTCTCTTTCCCCTAATCCAACCCCAGTTTCTCTCAAACCTGGGTTACCCACTGGAGACCCTCATGGCCTCCCTACCTCTAGGCTCTTCTGAGGAGGGTCTTTTGAAGCAAATTTAACCAGGCTGCCCCCTGATGCACCCTTCAAAGACTCCTCAACTCTCAAGGTGAAGTATAAGCTCTTGAATGTAACCCCCAGAAATGGTCTGATGCTGCTTCCCACCTTGGACTCCCTTCCAGCCACACTGAAAGTTTATTCCTTGCCATTTATATCTCAATAAAATTGGGTGGTGGGGGAAAACAAAAGAAAATTTACTTCCTTAAAAATGCCAGGCTTAGAAACTATATTCAATATCTTGTACTAACCTATAATGAAAAAGAATATGAGAACGAATATATGTATGTATATGTATATGACTGAAACATTATGCTGTACACCAGAAATTGACACAACATTGTAAACTGACTATAATTTTAAAAACTTAAATGAGGAGGAAAAAAATGCCAGGCTCTTTCCACCTTCCTCATCATTTTCCTAACTCCTATTCATCTTTTACATCCAGCTTGGGTGTCACTTCCTCCAGGGAGCCTTCTTGGGTCACACTGTTTCCTCCCTCTCACTATGCTGTACTCACACTTTTTTTCTCTCTCTTTCTTGTAACTGCGCTTTAAAATGTTTGGGTCCTACTACGGGAGGGCTTCTCAGCACAGTGATCATTTGGGGCTGGATCATTCCCTGTTGTGAGGGTCTGTCCTATGCATGAGAAGGTGTTTAGCCACATCCTGACCTCTATATACTGGATACCAACTAGCATTTCCCCTGCCAGTTGTAACAATCAGAAATGGATCCAGGGGAGGGAGGGTAGAGCTCAGTGGTAGAGGGTGTGCTTAGCATGCATGAGGTCCTGGGTTCAATCCCCAGTGCCTCCTTTAAATAAATCAATACCTAATTACCTCCCCAACAAACAAACAAACAAACAAATTTAAAAAAAGAAAAG